CCCACTCACTATAAAATGGTAGAAAGAGGGGAAATACAGGTTTTACCTCCAGTACCAGGACTGGATTTGCTCCCTTTATGCCAGACCTGCTGTATGGGGCCGAGCAAGTTTCTTCATCTCTTTCATCTGCAAATTGGAAATGGTGCCCTTTGTAGGAGTTGTGATCCAAAGTGGCATTCACTTGGGGTCTAGTGATGCAGCATGAATGTCCAGTAAGTGTCCTTACTCTGAAGCTTCACCTAAGAAAGGCAGCCCCATCTGTAGTAGTGAACAAAGCCTCTTCTCTCTGTCCTAACTTCTGCTCTTGCAGATTGGCCCTGCCCGTTTCCGAGCCCCAGAGCTCCTGTTCCGGCCAGACCTGATAGGGGAGGAATGTGAAGGACTTCATGAAGTGCTCGTTTTTGCCATTCAAAAGTCAGACATGGATCTGAGGCGAACGCTGTTCTCCAACATTGTGCTGTCTGGAGGCTCCACGCTTTTCAAAGGTTCCTGCCTCTTCTCTTTCAGTGTACTGTGACATATCTGATCTCTTGCTTCTTTCTCATGTGAAACTGGGAAGATAACCCAGATCACCCAGTTCATCCTTTGGGGTGAGGGCTGTGTAAATTCTGCTCTATGAGGGCATTTACTTCCTAATGTTCTGAGTTTTCGTCATATCTTGCTGGGTATGCAGGACACCTGCCTTTGTACATCACTTTCTGGGCTTGGAGGGCTTTTACTGTTTTCCTCCAATCAATACCTAGGGAAGGACTGAATAGCTGTGTTCATTTCTGCTGCTGTAGCTCACAGTATCTGAGACTAGATACCAAAAAGGACTCTTCCATCTTCTAAGGTTTCTTTAGGTCTCTGATAGCTGAGAGTTCAATGGCCCTAGTCCTGCATGAGTGTCAGCTATGTGTGTGCAGAAAGGTTTCAACCAATCCCCTCAGTTGGTACTCATTGACCTAAAGATACCCTCTGCCAGAACCCATCAGTCTGTAATCCACTGGTTGACAGCCCCAAATAGATCCTGGTCTTCCCATTCAACCCCCTGTACAAATGGACTGGACACAGGAGGAATGCCTAGGGAAGAAGGAGGTCCTAGCTAAAAACCTCGTTTGCTTGACTCAAGTTGCTGCTGAGGAGTAGAGTCCATTGTGCCAGTGTTTGAGCTCTTAGTGAGACAAAATTCTGTTATGTCATTGTCTCTGTTCTGTGCCTCCCCAGACTGGAGTAAGATGTGGAATGGGCTATTTGAAGGACTGCGCAGGCCATGTCCACATTGTTAATGGATGGAACTTAAGATTTTGCTGAGGTGTTCACAGTACCTATTTTCTGTCTTGTGTAGGTTTTGGTGACAGGCTGTTGAGTGAAGTGAAGAAACTAGCTCCGAAGGATGTCAAAATAAGGGTAAGAGCCATCTCTATTGTGTTTGTCATTTACCAAGTGTGTTGTTCTGTGGCGTTGAAAGAACCTTGCTCAGACTGCAGCTGCCATTTACTTCAAATCAGACATGCCTTTCCTGAGACACTCACATGCCCAACAGCTTTTGCTGTTGTGATGAAAATCCGTTTGGTTTCATCACTGAGAAGGTGGCTCCTCTGACATGACCCCTGTCCAGGATTCTGGACCAGAGTGGCTGTTTTGGGGGCACTGACAGGTGTCTTTCTGTTGGCAGCGACCACATCTGTGTTTGTCAGGTGTTAGCTGGAATGAAGTGTAGGCAGGGTGCTAGGAGGAGCAGACTGGAGCTTGGGAAGGTACAAGCTGATTCTCTTTCTTCCAGATATCGGCTCCTCAGGAGAGATTGTATTCCACATGGATTGGGTATGTATGTGCTGCACAGCAACACATTTTGCTGTGGGATTGGGCTGGGGAGGCACAGCCCAGTAGCTCTCATGTTGTTATCCCAACTGGTGCTGTGTGTCAGGGAGGTTGTGTTGCTGAGCTGGGCAGTGCTTGGTGTGTTCTTGAAGCAGCAGTCACCAGGTTGTGAGGGAGGGGGCAGGTGGTGCCAGGCTCTGTAGCACTGGCACATTTGAGGATAGTGGGAGAGGGAGTGACTGTCCAGAGAGCGTGTCTGTCGTGGGTAACTGAGCCTAGGCACCCTTCTGTCATAGGGAAGTGTCACGATAGAAACAGCCCATCTCTGCAGAGATACTACGAGAGTGCCCCCAGCATTTTGCTTTAACCTGTAACATGCCTGTCTCTCCGTAGTGGCTCTATCCTGGCCTCTCTGGACACCTTTAAGAAAATGTGGGTTTCGAAAAAGGAATATGAAGAAGATGGAGCTCGTGCCATCCACCGAAAAACCTTCTAGCCCTGGGACCTGTCCTCAGTCTCCTCTGAAGATTCACTTAAACTCGCTTTTCTGAGTCCGAGTGTCTGAGAGCTGCCTGTGTGTGTGTGTGTGCGCCAGCATGCCCCGATGTCACTGAGCAAAGACGACAGCAGCAGGAGGGTTGTACTAGTACTACTAACTTCTTTTTTATTTTGGTTTTTTTTTAATGGAATGGAGAAAATACCAATCTAAATTTCTCCAGAATAGCCCATTCCTTTTTCATTTCAGTCAGTCCCTTATTTCCTGTATCACAGTCACATCTGTCATTGTAAAACAAATAAGCAAAAACAAAGGGAACAGCTTATAGAAACTGCCTGGCAAGCCAGAAGGGAGCCGACCACTGCAGACTGCTCATACAGGCTTTAGTCAGCCTGACTGCAATGCCTGGATTGTCTGGAAACACATAGCTGAGGCCCCATAGCTACTTCCTTCTTCAGTGGTGTCTTCACCATCAGTAGGTTTTTGAAGTTGTTTTTAATATATTTTTTATTAAGAGAAAGCACATTCTCAACAGTTAAGTCCATTTTCCCCCACTGTTTTGGTGTGTGACTGTGTGTATGAGTGTGTAACTTCTTAGCCTGATGTGGGGTCTGCACCACAGCTGGAGAAGTTGGCGATAGGACTTAGTTTGTATTGCATGGAGTAGAACAAAGCAAATCTAATCAGCTATCATTGTACTAGACGGTTATTCTCTCGTACTTTGTTTTAAATACCTTTTCTCCTCTGGAAGCAAGTACCCCGAAATGGGCGTGAAGGCACTTGTGTGTTCCCCCTCAACCTGCCAAGATTTACAGCGCTGACTTCTCGTGTTCTTTGTAAGAGTCGAGGCTGTTTCCCTCCTTCCCGCCATGCCAGGGCAAAGGGAGCATGTATTCACAGTCAGGCATAACTCGTGTATTTTATCCATTCTGGGGCAAAATAATAATTGGGAAGGTGCATTGTTATGTAAGAATTGTTTTATTTATTGAAATGTCTGAGGATCTCTCAAATACTGACCACAGCACCTGGGAATTATGCTTTGGGTCTTCTTTGAACACCTGTTGCCCAGCTGCCCGCTGCTCAATGTTCGCACTGCACACAGCACCCGCGCTTAGAGGAAAGGCCAGCCCTGCACCACCCCCCTGCCCCTGCTCCGCAGGGACGCGCTGGGAATGCACCGGGGGAGAGGACAGCAAAGCGCGCCAGGAGGCCGGTGTGAGTGGCATGTGCGTGAGCAGGAGGCTGTCCTGCTGGCTGTGTTCCGCTGCACTGCAGTGCCTTTCTGCTCACCTGGTGACTGCTTTGCTTGCACTGCTCTAACAGCCCTGGGCAGCCTGCAGACCTGCTTGTGTTGGGCATGCCACTGTTCCTGTTTCACTTGTGCATTATTTGGTGCTCTTTTTTTCCTATTAGTTTTCTGCAGAACATGGCAGTAGCAATGGAGCTGGAGTTGCTTGGTGGCAGTCCCTCCCGGTTTCTCTCCTTTCTGTTAATTGCCACACATCACCTTGGGGTCACTCTCAGGTGCAGAGATGGGTAAGAGCTGGAGGATTGCCACAGAGGTGAGGGAAAGGCCAGTGCACTGCCCCAGCTGAGACGAATGTAAGCAGCAGCCGGTTGCCACTGCAGGAACCACTTTCTTGGGGCTCACCCCTGGGTTTGGAGAGGCTGTAGGCAGAGGGGTAGGATGGTCTCTCCCAGCTGAAGCCAGGCTGCTTGTTCCCCTCACCCCATTGGAGCAGACTCTTTTTTAAGCAAGAACCTGTCAGAAAAGAGCCATCAACACGCAGCCTTCTGCTGGGAACCTGGTTCTGTTCTTGCTGGTTTGCTGCAGCACAGAGGGGAATTCTAGCACATTCCTCTTGGTTCTATTACTGCGCCCCAGGCAGTGCTCTCCCATCCCCTCAGTGCCTCTGCTGGCCTTGCAGCAGCAGTGCTCCATTTTGTAACCTGCAATGACCGGGCAGGATGGTCTTGTCTCCAACCTAGCGTTCGTTTGGTCTGCCTGACTGTTCCCTCGCACACTGTCCAAACCATGTTGCCTGGTGGTGCCCAGCATACTTTAAATAAAGTAATTCATATACAACACTCAAGCTTCCTGGCCTCCTCTGCCCACATTTGCAATTTTAAGGCGGTAACTTGTGTTCTCTTGCCTGTGCAAGGAGACACCATTTTTGGTCCAAGATTGCATTTCTGGTCTGGCCTTTGTGGGAAGAGATTACTGGGCTGCAGCCATGGTGTCCACATCTACTCTCCTTTATGTGTTACCCCTGAGTCTTCTGTCACTGCAGACAAGTGAAAGGCTGGAAGAGGGCAAGGGTAATGCACTGCTGTTGTGAGAAGAACTGGTGCAACCCAGGTGGTTGCAGAGAGAGCATTGAGTACAGTTGTGCTCACAGGGTGGGCCCTGAGAAGGTGGCACAGTGCCCAGTGCTATGACTGTCCCATTTTGTCCACAGCAGCCACCAGTGTAGGAACAGGACAGACCTAACTCTGGGCCCTTCCAAAGCAGCAGGGGTAAGTGACGCCTCCCTCCAAAGGCTGGTGATCCCCTCTGCCCCCTGCAGAAGCAGCCAAGCCTCAGTGCAGTTTTGTGGAAGGAGCTGTCCCCTTGTCTCCACCCAGCCACAGCTGTGTCCCCACAGCACTACATTCACCCAGCCAGGCTAGAGCCACTGGCTAGAAGAAAATCAGCAAGCAATTCAGAAAAAGATAATCTTTAATTTATGAAATGGAGAATCATTCTCAAACTTGGTTAGAAGTTGCAGAAATAACTTATGATTGAACCAGTAAGAACTACAGCAGCCTCATGGCAGGAATATCTTGGTCCAAGACAGAAGGCAGCCATGTCCTGAGGCAAGATGGCAGATTGGTGGGCTGAGACCCCAGAGGGAACCTGGCACTAAAAAAAGAACATCCCTCAACATGCAACAGCTTCAAACACCACTGCCTGCCAAACCTCCCTCCTGCAGCAGGCAGGCAGGCACAGGATTTGGCACATCCCTTCTGCCTGCCCCCAAAGACATCACCAGGGATTGAGGAGTCACTCCCTTGCCTCAGGGACCCCTTTGGTGATAACCTGTCCCTCTGCTCTCAGCCAAAACCAAGGAGACCAAAGCACCTGCTCTTGGGTCCCTGGCTAAGCAGCTCTCTGACCTGCTCTCAGCAGGTGAGATGATCTAACTCGGGCACTGTTTCAAGCACAGAGGAGCTGAGATGTCTGCCCCTCTCCACAGGGGTAAAATCCCAATCCTGTGACTGCCCAGGACTGTGTCAGACAGGCTCCAAAGAAGAATCAAAGGCACAAAAGCAAGACCTGGTGTCTCCTCCAGGCTGTGCTCTCCTACAAGAGGGGAGGGCACCAGGCTGCCTCACTGGGTCACCTGGGATCGCCCTGGGCAGGGAGGCACTTCCAGTGGCTGGATTAGGGGTTGGTTCCCTCACCTTGCCCAGAATGGGAGGGGGCTCATGGTACAGCTGTGTGACAGCACTGAGTGGAAGGGGCTGCAGAGAGGAAGTGAGGGGTAGACACATGCAATGGGATGCCCAGTGAAATGATACAGCTCAAGGCTCTGAACTCAGTTCAAACCCAGCAACAACTCCCTGTACAAGACCACAGAGAAGGGAACCTCAGCATAAAACAGCCCACCCAGCAGATCCTGGATGTGCAGGATATTGTCCTGTGAACAACAAATGCTTAAGAGTGGATTTGGTCCAAAAACCACAGCACTGCAAGTGGAAGGGTTCTACCAGTTACTGGGAAAGGCCTTCAAGGTCCTTTCATCCCTGCTCCTGTTTGGCAATCATTCCCTTGGGTCACTTGGTCCCTCAGGAGCCTCCCACTCCACAAGAGTGAAAGGCTCTAGTGAGGAAGGACCCCCTGTGCAGTCTCCTGCTCAGCTGGAGAGGCTGTGGCTCCCCACAGCCACACCCAGCACAGAGAAGTGCATTGGGGATGTGTCTGTTTCTAGCAGCTCTCCGCTCCCTGGACAAGCTGGGATAAAATGTTCTTGCTCCTGAGATCAAGTGGTCTGTCTCAGGCCCCTCACATGCTGAACCTCTCTGCCTTCCCCAGTGATGACCACCTGGAATGAGCAAACATTGGCATCACAGCGTTTCACAGCTGAACCATGAACATCAGGCTCTCTCAGCCCACCATCCCTGCCCTTCACCTGCCCTCCAGCACCAGCCTGGAACCAGTAGCATCCTGGGGGCTCAGGCACCCTTAGATTGCTTTGACCTCTGGTGCTTGGCCTTGTGTCAGGCTCTGCCGCTGAGCCTTCACCAGCTGCAGCCGCTTCCCATGCAGGCTGAACTGCGACCAGATGAGGAGCTGCAGCAGGGCACACGCGATGGGCACGAAGACAAGGAGGTAAAAGCAGCCCTGGCGAAGAGTTGGCTCCAAGGCCACGGCAGACTCCAGCTTCGGCTGGGCACTCACCACGTTGTTCAGGGGGTTGCGCTGGAAGATGTCGTATCCTGGTGTCAGAGAAGAGTTTGTGAGAATGGGGCAGTGGGGTTGGATCTTTGTCCACTCTCTTTGCGTGACCAGCCGTGGAGATGCAGAGACCAGGCACAGGTTATCAACTGAAGAGCCCTCTGCACCCACCCAGGGCACAGCACAAGGTGCCAGACACTGAACTCACAGGTCTGCCCTGTCCTGCTCCACTGCTTTCCCTAGAAGCATCCTTACCTGTGTATGCACAGAGCAGCCAGGTGCCAATCAGAGGGGCGAAGGTCTGGCCTGGTTTGGTGACCAGAGCCACCATCCCAAAGAGCAGGGCTGAGGCCGCCTGCTTCCTACGGTTCAGGACTAGATCCTCATCCACCAAATCAGTGACCACCAGGTTGAGTAACTTACAGGTCCCTTCTGTGAACACGCGGTTGCTGCAGAACAATAGGCAAAGCACTGAATAAGGCTATCAAATGACAGGAAAATGTGACAGAGCAGAAAAAATGCAAGGGTGAAAAAGGTTTCCCCACACTTGAAATAAGAACTTCAGAAGCCCTAGTTACAGGAGAGGAACACCACTATCAATAAGACTGTACCCTGCAGTGACACCTCAGATCAGTCCTAACCTGCCACACAGACAGGCCTGGGGATAGGACACACTGGACCTGTGACTCACAGGCAGCTGCAGCACACACTGAGAGCTGCAGAGGAGAGTTCTCTGCAGCTGGCAAGTGCAGGTGCAAGCTGCCACCAGTCCTGTGACCTGAACATCACTGCCTCCCTCACTCTGCAGCAGGGCAAGCCTGTGGATTCTGCAGTGACCTGTCCCATATGCTGTCAAAGCTGGAAACCACATGGCTTATGTATGATTCTGCCCCCTGTTCCCGGCCTTCCACTCCTTTTCTTAAACCAGGGACAACTCATTTTACTTCCCAGGAAGCAGAGGGCAGAAGAAGTGCTTGCCTACCTGGCAATGAAGATGCAGAGCAGATACACCTGATCAGGTCCTGCCAGGAACATGACAACACTCAGAGCCAGCTTCAGGAAGAAGAGTCCTTGCACCACAGTGTAAACCCCACAGCGGCGGCAGAGTGACAGGAAGTAGAGGTTGTTGAGATGGGGGGCAATGTAGGAAACACCTGAGCAGAGACAGATACACAAACAGTTTGATGGAGTTTCACTTTCCACCATGCCCCCAGACACGATACCAAGAGAGACAGCAAGGTTGGCTATTGCCAGCAGGACAACACAGAGTAGCTCCTCTGCATATACAGAAGGCTGCAGCAGATTTACTCCATGACTTTGTGGCATACCACACTCTTTCCTACAGAGGGAGACCTTCTTCCATCAACCTCGTGGACAGAGAGGAAGAAAAGATTTGCCCCAGCGTCATGCAGAGGCTGCAACTCAGCCCTGGAGCAGAAATCAGAGAGACAGGACTGCCTGACCAGACCTGGCCTGCACAGAACCCTCCCAGGGTAATGCCCACACATCTGTAGCAGCCTGGAAATGGTCTGTATGCTGCAGAAGGGATAAAATCCAGGGCTGTGTTCTCTGCTGCATCCTGGGAATACTGAATCCTGCAGCCTCTAGTACTGACAGCAATAGCTCTCTAGAGTCTGGTGTCCAGCACCAGGCTGGTCCTTACTAGAAAAGGCTCCAAGTTACTTCTGTGCCCAGGAAGGACAACTCAGAGGTCCCAAGGAAACACGTGGGGTGTGTGTATGTGTGCATCTTACAGCCCAGAGTCCTGCATGTGAGCACACCTCTCCCCAGATGGAGTTTGGGAAGGGCAAACCCAGACTCGGGCCAGGTCCTATGTGACTCAGCTGCTCCCTGCAGACCCACCTGAAACTCACCAAGCAGGAAAGATCCAGTAGAGACAGAGATCTGGTCTGACAGCAGGTGCTCCAGGAACAGAGGGAAGAAGTTGCTGTTAAAATGGCAGTGAAAAACCTGTGAAGGCAGCATGCAGACGAGCTGGTCAGCAGGAACAGCAGTGAGAAAGAACAGAAAAAGCTAACAGCCCTCTTGTCCTAGGAGCCCCATGCCAAAGGATCATGCAGGATAGGCCTGGAGTGCTTCAGCAGAGCAAGACTTCAGCTGTGACATTTCCAGCACTGCTGGCTGAGATTGCAGAGCTGCAATGCCATCAGCTATGCCCACTCTGTGCCCGAAGTCAGCCCCACTGCCCAGCTGTACAGCACAGTGCTGCCAGGGCAGACAGGGCCAGCAGGTAACAGCAGTCACCATGAGGCTGGGGGAGACAGTGGCATGGCAGGAGGGAGGCAGCAGCTGGCAGGAGGACATTGGTAAGGCAGTGAGGCTTGAACACAAAGATGCAGACCAGCATCAAGAGCCTGCCTGAGGGGAACTGAGGGATCCTCAGGGAGCCATGACTGCGGCACACAAAGCTGGGCAGGCTGCCAGCATTTGGTAGTCATCACTGAAGATGATGAAGAACAGAAATGGTAAAAGCCAGCTGGGAGATGGATCCAGCTGGACAGTGAGAACAGTGATGTGAGCCTCAGGAAAACGGAAAGGGAAAGGAGACTGTGCTGACAGCCATGCCAGCAAACAGCACTCCGAAACTCATCCCTTCTGTGAGCCAGGCCCTGTGCTTCTGCACCCCATATGGGCTGCACAGAGCTCAGTCAGCCCCCATAACCCAGCCTATGCTGCAGAGAGAGGAAGGAGCAACCCACAGCTTGCTCAGGAAGTATCCTCAGTCACAAGCAGGGAGAGTGGCTACCAGCTGCTGAATCAACCAGCATGTGCAGGAGGCTCCAAGAGCAAGTGGGTGCTGGGAACATCTCTGCCCTTTCTCGGGAACTCACATACTGCTGAATCATCCATCTCAAAGCGCCACAGCCAGCGCTCATCCTCTGAACCGCAGCGTGTCACTTCTGTGCCTACCTGGACAAGATTCATGCAGACAAACCAGAGGAAGTTGCGATGCCGGGAGAGCTGCTGGAGATACTCTGCCAGGGTGATCCTCTTCTCCTGGGGGACGGAGAGTTTCTCAATGTACAGCCTGAAGGAAAAGGAGGGATAAAAAACAACCATAAATCCCTCACACCAAGACAGAGTCCCCAGCTCTCCCCCTGTAGATGCAAAGCTGTCTCTCCTCAGCTCCCATCCCGACCTTTCATATTCCTGGACCAATCAAAACAGTAGAGTCTACAACAAGGATTGCTTATTACTAGTAAGAAGCACAGGCAACAGTCTCCCAAAGAACATCCATCTTCTTAACACAAAATTCACCTTTCTGTCCAGAAATGCATTCTCCTCTTATCAGCCATTCCACTATACATGCATTCCTCTTCCATGTCCCTGCAGTTAGCTCACCTGGCACATCTCATCAGGATCTGCTGCTACTACAGCATAATGCTGGCAGCTCATAACAAGAGATGTCAAGTGAGGCAGCCCAAGGAAGGAGCTGAACAGGAAAAATCAGCTTGGTGTGGCCTACCAACAGCCCAGCTACTATCAGACACCTGAAGTGACTAACAGGGAGAAACATTCACTTGTCCAATTCTGTAGGGCAGGGGCAGCAATGTGGTCTCGTGCCCAAGCACGAATGCTTTCATAAGCTGCTTCTGACATTCTACCACTCACAGGCCTCACTGGGTGCTCCAGACATGAACTCATTTCATGCTCCAAACACTGGATGGCCATATATCAGGTTAGGCCTCTGCCTCCAGTTTGGACTATGGCTGACACAAGACAGTTTTGTTCTATTTTCAGAGGAGCCAGTGTGACAGCTGATCCTGAAAACTGTATCAATAGACAAGAACCAGAGATAATTAACACATTTTGCCTCATGCTGGATCTTCTCACGCATTTAGTTTGCTGCAAATGTATGCCAGGCCTTTGCCCCTGCTAAGAATTCATGACCCTTACCCTTTCAGGGTTGATTCCTCGTCCCATTTTGCTTTCCCATCAGCCTGAAACCGCTGGCGGAGCAGCTGTGTGGACAGGGTGAAGCCAACAATGGAGCAGAGGGCCAGCAGGACGCAAAATATGCGAAAAGAAAAGAAGTCCTCCTTGTTCCATACTGCATAGGACATGAAGACAGACAGGGAGCCTATAGCACTGAAGAGGGAGCAGTAGAAGTTGAGGCTAGTCCTGTCTTTTGCTGAAACAGCCAGGTCTGCAAGCAAGGCATTGTGATGGAGGTCAACCATGGTGAGAAAGCTGTCGTACATGCAAAGGCAAAGGAGGAACTGCAAACCAGGATGAGCCCAGGAAACCCAGAAAGCCAGGAAAGAAATGGCAAAGAGAGGGCCATTGTGGCTTAGTGCTCTGAGCCTCTTCAGAACTACTTCAGGGGACGAAATCTCTGCTCCTGCCCTGCAACAAGAAAAAAAAAAGATATTTTACATAGCTGGACAAAACCCTGCATGATCACATATCCTTCCTCTCCAAGGAAGTAATGTAAGTGGCATAGATACAAATACAGCTTTTGTTCAAGTAACAACCACCCACATCAGATACCTTCTCAGCTAACAGTGAAAATATAGGTTTAAGAAAACCAAAAAGAAAAGGAATTTTTTTTTCTCCAGAGCATTTCTCTCCCTGATAGTACTGTACTGTCTGCACTTTGTGGAATGTAAATGATTTTCATGAGATTTTATTAATTGCAGGAAGCCACACCATGATTTTCATTAAAATGTTGACATAAATATATGAAAAATATTAATGGCCAACAATACAGAGCTGTCTTGCCTCAGCTCCCATCCTATAGAGTTTGGGAACAACTGGTCTGAGGCATTCCATATGGAAACAACTGTACTTTTCCCCCTTGTGCCTCCCAAACCATGTACAAAAACTCTCTGACATCTCATTAACAGACTTACTCATATAGCAGGGGCTTGAGATTTTAGATACCCATATTTTAGATTCTGCACCACTCATGACTGTTCAGGGTTAGGGTCACATCCACCCATTAGGCGTGTGTGACTTTCTCTGTACAGTCAAGTACTGAAAAAAAAAACATTTATGAGCACTGAACTTCAAAGATGCCATGAATAGGAGGTATTTAAGAGTTCCATGCCCAGTAAGCCATTCCCACGGCATCATTTTAAAGCTGCCAATTTGACATCATCTTCCCCAGAGACTAAACAACTTCCCAGACTCTTCTGATAGCAGAACTTCACTTACTGCTGTGTGCTAAGGAATACTCGGTCACTCAGCCAGCCAAACAGAGGGTCATTGAGGCTGTTCCAGATCAGAAACACTGTCTAGGAAAGAAAACAGGACAGTGAAACAAACCACAGGACAGCTCCGTTCTGTCACCAAAGCAAACAGTGCTGAGCTGGCACGGTGAGCCATCAGCAGGAACTGTCCCAGCACACCTTCCCTGCCCCATCACCACTGTATCATGCCTCTGTTTGGGGCAACTGGCAGTAAGGCCAGTGGTTTTCACTGCCTGTGAAACACCCCAATAGCCACAGAGGAAAGGCAGTCTTTAAGAACAAAGTCTCTGCATTTTCTGTCCCAGCTTGTTCTATTTTTATATAAGTGGGAAAAACTGAAAAGCCCAAGTTAGCACTTGGAAGGCTCCCTTTCTCCCTCTCCAAAAGGGAACACTGCTGTTATAACTAACAGTTTTCACATTTCTAGCAAAGAACAGTCTTGGTTTCAGAATTTCCTACTTAAAAGAGCGCAGAAACCAATGGAAAAAAACTAACCTCTCCTATCCAAAAGGACAGTTTATCAATCTTGTAAACAGAGACAAAGGTGTCCACATAGTACAGGAGGAACACGTTGTGCAAAATGGAAACAAAGAGCGACAGAGAGCCATAGATCACTGCAGTGGGCAAATGGAAAAGACAAGCCAGCAGTCGCAGCCCCATGTTGGTGCAGTCAGTGTTCAGCTCCTTCGATCACCTCCATTTCAGGTGAGATGTCTTCTCCCAACACCTACTACATCTTTGTTGGGGCCAATCCATTGTTGCTCCTGCAGAAGACAATAAATAAATAAAATAAAATGAAAACAGATTCATTTTTTTAAATTAAGTAAAAGGTGAATCAAGTTAATTGGTAAATCTTTGTATGTAGCGATCAGAACTCGTATTGTTTTGAGGAGCTGCTACAAAGTGGATTGTAGGGGATTTAAGAGACTAGAAACTGTCTGCTGCACTAAAGCTGTTTTCATTAAGCTGAAGCCAGGCCATGGGATCCTGGGGGTATGACTGCTTCCTCCTGAGCAGCTTGCCCTGTCCTTTACCCTATAATGTTCTTTGTTATCTAGCAAGCAGACAATTAATCCAGCTCTTTAAAGGCAAGGTCATAGAAAGAATCAAGCTAGATAGCTACAAACAACAAAGCAGCCTTCAGAAAACATACCTAGTCACTGGTATTTTTAGGTCCTAATGTAAATTTTTACCCAAATAAAAATGACAAGAGCTATGATGTAACCTCACATGTGCACAATGCTTTCCCCAGGCAGACACAGCTTACTGCACCTGGGCTGGCTAAGACAGGAGTTATTTATGGTGAGCAGTGCTGCTGCTTTCTGGTATGAAAACACATGACCAGAACATGAAATCATGAAATAAAAGTGCCATCATGAAATAAAAGTGACCAGAAGTGCCTTAGCAGTTGTCCAGCTTGTCTCGGAGTGTCCTATGTCTTAGGACCATAGTCTGAAATAAAGATGCTTTGGCTGGACAGCAATATACACAGAAATAAAACATGGACACGGCAGCCTTAGAACAGAACAAGTTGCTCTACGTTCACAAGGGGCTGAGTGTGAGGACTCCTCACACCTGCACTGACCGGAGCTCATGGCCAGGAGCTGGGGCTAGAAACGTTCTCTTGTGCTTTTCAGACTGAGCTCTCTCTCACATGTCAGTTGCTACAGACCCAAGGCAAAATACACATCACTTATGTGAGACAAAAGGGTTTCTTAAATCAGTACAAGCCAGCTCCTCCAGCCCATGCCATCATGAGAAGCCCTGTTCACAGCACACACATGAAGGCTGACAAGGTTGTTATCTTAGCACTGTCAAAAGCAAGATAAAGGGCTGTGTGCCACTCCTGTCCGGGGTCTGCATTCACCCAACTCAGATACATCATGGGGGCTTTGCAATGTGGGATAAGACTGAACACATAAGAAATAGGAACCTACACACCACACCATCCTCTTGGGCTTGCAACACCAGCTGCAGCAAGTCCAAGCAGGAAATCAAGCAGAAGAATAAACGTCTGGGTATGAAACCTGATGAAACGCCAATCCCATTCAGCATTTCCCTGAAGCCATGAGTCTGACCACTTCTAGGCAAGATTAGAAAAGCAAAAATAGCCATCTGCTCTGCCTAGGCCAAGGAATTCCTCATAACTAGTTCAGAAGGAGCAGGAACAGCATCTGTTCCAATCAATTACATCACTAGATTGAAACTGCACCTCGGTTCCACTCCTAGCCAAAGCACTAGACCTCAACTGGATCCAACTGCAGAGCCCTTGTGGAGCTCAGACACATTCTGCATCCCTGCCAGGCCAAAACCCATGGCCAGAAAAAAGGAAGACACTGCTTGGAAGATAATTCAGCCAGACAATGAACCTTTATAGACATAATTAAAGACAGACAAGCCTCAAGGGGAAATTTCATTTTGTATGGTCAAGAATTGGAAAGGAGTCCCAATGCATAAAGACAAAGATTAAGAAGGAGAGAGAGTTAAGGCAATTGTCCCAGAGGTAAGTCCTCTGTCACCAAAAGCCTTCTGTAGAGGACTGACTGAAGAGCAGATGAAGACACCATAGTTCTGGGCCCCTTCATGAAACTCTCAGGACACAAGAAATGGGAACACTATAACTAGCAGGAAGTCAGCTTAAAGCACACAAAAATATTTCTTTATCTGGCAGGTAGTAAAACACCTGACATTCAATACCAAAGGGTATTAGAGAGCTGGGCAGCAGCTTCAAAGGATTAGACAAGTTCACAGAAAACAGCTGTACAAAAACCAGCTACTAAAGGGAACAAGGCTGGGAAATCCCCTCTAACCACCCCAAGACAGCTGTGCAGGCTGGGGGTGGACAAGTGGAAAGGCCACCAATGGTGCCCAGACTCATCTGCTCTCCCCCTAAACAGCATCTGCTGCCACCGTGGGGCAGGATATGGGGAGAGACAGACCAACAGTGGGACCTACTATGAGGGAGATTCTTATCCTAAGCTTGCCTTTGCTATCCAAAACCTATGTGAAAGCAGAGCCCGCACAAGCCTTGGTCTTAGTGCTGCACTTCATGCTGTCCCCATCCAAAAAGTGCTTCACTGAGCACATGTTGCACAAACCACAGCTGTTAAAATTTCCAGAAACACCTAATTTTGTCATATAAATGCTACAGCGCTGTTCAAAGAGGGTGAAGTTCCACTTCCTTTCTTTCTGCTCCCTCATCACTCCCTCACAGATGTGCAACCTCTCCAGCCAGCTGATATTTGCAAGTGATGTCACTTTTGCTAGGCTAGTTATTAGGTCATTTGATAGATTTCCCTCCTCATCTGCAAATGGGCAGTTAAAAAGAAACAAATCACAGTTGTCTGCAAAAAGCAGATTTCACTTCTATACCCAAAGCACTGTTACTGCCACACTGGTATTTTCATAACCTTTTCCTTGGGATGGAGAATTATTCATGGAGTATATCAGAACTTTTCAACATGAGGTTATAAGAAGTAATGGGAAAAGGAGCTGCAGGAGGGAATAGCTATCATTCATTCATGCTGAACCTCTAACACAGTCATAAAGCAACAAGCTCATAAATTAAAAAGCAACAAGTCTTTATTTGAGAAACTTCCTCCTCTTCATTTGACATCTGGCTCCTGCCAGTGACATCCACAGATCTTATCTTCCGGAGGAGGATGTTGGAATACTGGCTACCAGGAAAGCACTACTTTTGTTTGAGAGTGCTGGCATACAGCTGTGTCTGGAACACATCACAGCTTGGGGCTCACACATATGCTCCAAGTTCCTAGCCAGCTCACAGCTGGATGCACGAGTCCTTGTGTCCCGTGGTGATTCAGCAATGCTTTGGCCTTACAACAAGGCAGAGCTCCAGCCTTCCACAGCTGAAGCCACTTCTACTGAGCCAGCAGCAGAGCCATACATGTGAATCTTGCCTCAAGCCAGCCTTTTAAGCAGGGCCAGATGATTTTTATGTGCTGAAGTTGCCACATAGCAACCTGAAACAACCATCTGCAGACCTGACTGCAGTACTGGGATGACTCTCGTATTCATTCTCCCCTGTGTGGGTAATGCAGGCTGGAATCCCAAATACTACTTCAGAATATGTCTGTGCTTGCTTGAGCTGCCACTACACTGCCTCTGCTGCAAAACCCTCTGGGTTTTGAGGTGCTTACTAAGCCAGCTCTGTATGTCTGCAACTGCCATACAATAAATCCACCCAGCAGCTGGAAAAACCACCCGAGACAAAACCCCATTTATAGGCATTTGTCACAGCCAGACAGGACCGGGCTGCTGGCAGTCCAGCCCCACTCACAGGGAAGCTGGGCTGGAGCTGATGTCCTGTGACCTGTCCCAGCAAAACGCCTGGTGCTGGGCACATCAATTCCTCCCAGAGCCTGCAAGTGACAGTCATGGATGTCTTTGTCTGGTCAGGGTTATCTGTCAGTGATGAGCCCGTTTTGGGAGCACAGACCAGGTTCTGCACACTCCTTCCCTCCCACACATGGAACCCCAGGACACCTCCACAACACAAGATATCTCAGAGGGTCCTCACCCCATCAAACTACCTGGATTCTGGCAGAAGTCTGTCAGAAAATGAGAAACCCCTCCACAGAGCTATTTGAATAAATAAAACCAAAAGAGCCTCTGCTTTAACAAAAAATACCTCTCAAAATCCTATTTCTGTCCCAGGAAAGCTCCTTCCTAGATACACACTTCACAAAATTTAAGCTCCTATGACAAAACTTTGATCTTGTGCACCCTTTTAGAGACGAATGTAACTCCAAGGCTCTCAGTTTCTCCACTCCATACTTCTCCTGAAACCCTCCTAACACCCTCAGATAATCCCTTAGTAACAAGGACTCTGAGGGAACATTAAACACAGTCCTGTGTGAAATGTGAGCAAACACCCTAAAGCAGGCTCCCAGCAGCCTTGTATCTGATGGGTAAAGAAATGAAAACTCTGAAACCACCTGGATCAGGCATGGAAACATGACTGAAAGTGATTATGAGGGCATTTCCCGGTACTGTTTACCAATTCAACAATCAGTGATGACTGTGCATCATGAGGTTAAGTAATACCCTTCTTATTACAAGCAATCATGTGCTTCCATCAGCCCTGCTGAGTTCATACACGCAAACACAACTGCCACACAGACAATTAATACCTTGAACCAGCTGGTAGCTTCCATGGAGCTGTGCTCCAGCTGAGCAATCTTGTTCAATCAGATCTCATTCCCTAATAAAAACACAAGGTTTGTCAATATAACTGGGCAGATCTCATAGCCTTAGAACTTAGCAAGGCTTTTACCTCAACAACCTGCAACATCCCGTGTCTAAAGTTTTCCAGTGTAAAGGAAGTGTGTTAGATGTATTAAAAAACTTGTTCCTGATCATTTGCTGTTAATATAAGCTCTAATCCTGTAATGGACCTCACAGCACAAGGATGGGAACCAATGCCAGGTAACTCTGACCTCAAATTACAGAACTAGAAGTAAATTTGAAATAATTTGCTTCAAAGGAGCTACAAGAGGGGATTACTGCACACATTCTGCCTGTTCTTTGTTAAGAATTAACAGGAAACTCCAGGTGAGAAGCAACTTTCACCACTCTGTCAAGTGCAGCCACCAGGAGTTTCTGCTACACAGCTTCCCCGGGACAGGGAGTCTCTTCACCTAAGCAAACCTCCCAAGGCCACCATGCCTCTGCAGCACCCAGCTGCAGCCACAGGGCCACATGCCACTGACCGGGTCACCAGCCACAGCCCCTGGCGTCCCACGTGCAGGACAGGAGCACAGGGAGCCAGGCAATGCCTGTGGGGTCAGGCTGGACATGGGGACACCGTGACTTTGGACATGCCCAAGTAGCGCTGCCATCCCCTATGCCACATGCACAGGGACCCTCCACGCTGTGGGGAGGCCTGGCAACCCTGGTAGAGGAAGGGGTGGCCAGCCAGAGGCACTGCCATCCTTCCCTGAGGAGCTCTCCAGAGGCACCGCCATCCTTCCTTGAGGAGCTCTCCAGAGGCTCTGCCATCCTTCCCTGAGGAGCTCTCCAGAGGCACCGCCATCCTTCCCTCAGCTCTCCACAGGCTCTGCCATCCTTCCCTGAGGAGCTCCATGGCAGTGGGTTGAAGCCTGCCAGGTGAGGGGAAGGAATAACGGGGACAGCAGAGACCCGCGGCACACTCGGGGATAAGAGGGCAAAGCCAGAGCCGCCCCTCCGTGCCGGGAGTCAGACCCCACCGCTCCAGGACTGAGCCCCCTGCCCATGGGCACCGAGACCACGGAGCGACGGCACCCCCGGCCCAAAGTGGGATCGTCCACGATAACAGAGGGAATATCCACCAGGCCTCTACCACTGCAGGGAAGGGGGGGACTCCCTAACCCACAGAGGCGCCCCCCCGGGAGGTAGTGGCTCTCCCACCCTACCCGAAGCACCTTACTGAGCGGACGAGGGGTCCGCCACCGTACCACACTACAGACAGGCAGGCAGGCAGGCAGGCAGACAACGCGGGGCCAGCGATAAGGCGGCAGAGAAACCCGCCCGCCGCCTCGGCGCCTCCTACCTGCGTCCGCCACCGGCGCTCCCCCGCCGCTTCGCCGTCACACGGCGCGGCCGCGCATGCGCGTCCCCAACCCCGCCCCGCGGCCATTTTGTGTCCTGGCAAGTGAAGCCGCCGGCACCTCCCGGCAGCCATCGCGTGTGAGGTCACTCCGCTCCCTTATTTGCATATCCCCGCCCCACCCGCGCGAGCCTCTCTGGAGCGGCGCCACCTCTCGATGGCCGCCCGTCGCCATGGAAACGCGGCCTGGCCGGGACGCCAGCGCTGCAGCCAGGGAAGCGTCGAATCATCGTGGAATCATCAATATTGCACGAGATCTTCAAGTTTATCCAGTCCACCCGCCAGCCCAGCGCCACTACTGTTACCTGTAAGCCACTAAACCGTATCACCCAGTGCCATTTCCAGAGGCCACTTAAAAATCTCCAGGGATGGCCCCTCCACCACCTGGGCAACCAATTCCAATCAATGCCTGATCTCTCGAGCAGGGAAAAAAAAAATCTGGTATTTAATATGAATCCCCACTGTCCCGGCTTGAGGACATTTCCTCTGTTCCTCTCACTATAGGCACAGTAGTAGAGACTGGCCTCCACCTCATCACAACCTCCTTCAGGGTTTGTAAAAAGCAGTGAGGTCCCCCCTGAGCCTCCTCTTCCCCAAAGAGCATGTGCCACAAAAATATATGCATAGCTGCTTGGACAGGTGTGGTAGTAATCCAGCAAATATCCTGTCTCTGGTCTTAAGTAATCAGAGACTTACATTTTTCTCCCATGATTAATTTCCATTCATCCTGTGTATTTCAGAAAATAGGGACTATCATTGTCCATTATCATTTAAGATCTCCCAGTGGCCCTTTCTCTCAAAGAAGCAACTCCTATATTCAGGATATGCATCACCTTCCATCTCTCACTGCAACAGCTGCTTCCATTAATCTATTCTCAAATTTCACCAGGGGAAATTTCACCACGAAAAATTGAGGCAAAAGCCAATTACTGTATACAGAAAGGTATTATTGCACCCTATTACCTTCCAATGTTTTTGCACATTAGACTTACTAGTAGGCTCTTAAGCAGGTCACTTTTATAACTTCCTAAAGCCAGACAACTAATTGTAATCAACATGGATTGTAATTAAAGAGTGATTTGTAGGTATTTAGATTCAGCTATTGAGATCACCTGCAGCAGAGCAAGCCATAAGGCACTAATCAAAGAATCATTTAGTTTGGAAAAGACCTCTAAGATCACAGAATCAGTAAGCAACCCAAAGGAGCTGCACTACTACTGCCATTGTGCTGGGTGATGATGAGCTGACCTTGCAGAAGCAGTCACCCATTTAAAACTCCTGTGGAGATTTCTGTCTGCAAAGGTCCACTACAGTTCAGGTGCTTACAATAAGGTAGTGCTGATGGGAGCCACTGATATGGCTTCTTACTTAATTATGATCTAGATGAGCTGTGAGTACAAATACCAGCTTAGTGGCTGAGTGTAATAAAAAGCTTGGGGGGAGTAGTACTAAGAGAAAAGAGGAGGGTTTCTTTCTGTAGTGTTTAATGGGGGGGGGGGTTCTTTTTTATGCTAGTCTGTTACTTTAAAGGTTACAGTTCTTTAAGTTTTGCTGACTTGAAAAAGAGCCTGAAGTTTTGGTAAGTGATTTTGGTGATTTTCCATGCTGGCTTTATGTGCTGATTTTAGCTGCTTCTTTACCTGTGTCCTTGTTCCCTGTCTGAGCATGTTATGTAATTGCTGAAGGAATGAGCCTCCTGTTGCTATCTCAAGGTATAAGAGCACGTTCAGGCATGTTTTGCTGCCTTGGTTACCACAGGAAAAACTTTCATTAGGTCTAATGTGGTATCTCAGGGCATCTCCTTATTCTTTGTGTCCCTAAGGTACTTCAGTGAAGAATAGCCTGTGGAAAGTAACCTGCTTTCTTAGGATTAGGTTGTGTATCCTACTGTTCCTTGGTTAAGTGAAGGTGTTCTCCTGGTTGTCTTTTCTCCACATGTGAGTACACATATGCCAAGCAAATCTCTCTCTGTGTTCTGCAATGTCCCTGCATTTATACACTACCTTAAATGTTTGCAGTAGCAGAGCAGTATATAGATGAGGTGTTCTGTATTTTGCCTGGCTTCTTAAAAAAAACATAAATCCCTTTGGAGGTGGTACTCCTTTTATATCTGCTCATGTGGGTGCCAGTCCATGTACTGTAGTATAACTTGGTTGCAGTATTGACTCGTGCCAGTGCTCTACTCTGTAATAGTCCTAGCACCACCTGCTCGTAAAAGATACTAATGTAAGTTGTTATTATTGTGCAATGAGAGGCTTTAAACACTTTAATATGGAAAAAATTACACAGAAAAGCCTTTGAGCGATTGCATTCCTGGAAACACAAGCTTTTCTTTTGTTTCCTATTTTTAAAAATCAATATTATTTTTAAGCTATGTTCTGTATTGTCTAAAGACCATAACAGAAAATAGTTGGTTGGTTTTTTTAAAGTTATAACAAAGTTGTACATCAGCAGATGCTGCAGCTGTCTGCCTTGGGGATGCAATAAGAGCAGTATTCCCATGTGTAATTCTAGCTCAGATGTTTGCACTTACACTAGAAATGCAGTGTGTGTTGCTGTTGTAACAGAAAACCCCCTTATATGCCAGAGGGGTTTGTTGTATATAATACAGCCTCAAAGAGTGGATAATCTTTGCTGCCCTGTCCTACTGTTTAGGGTGTTGACACTCTGGGAAGACATAGTGCATAAGAATACACCTTCTGTGCTTCTTCATAGCCATCCTCAGTGGAGGATATGTGGGAATAGGATGTAAGATCTAAATAGGATGCATTTAAAGAACAAAGAACTAAAATGCAAATAGTTTTCTGTGACACTGGTGTTTGTCAACGGAGGAAACCCACTGTGAGCACAACCTCCTTCTGGAGAGCTAGACTGTGTGATTTGTTAACTACTTTGTAGGATATCAGGAGATTCTCCCAAGAGCACTTCAAGGACAAAGACTTGTAATCAAGCAGCTGTGAGAGTGGGATGCTGTGGAAGTACAAAACACGGTTGCTTTGTTATGCAAACTGCCTTTGTGTAAGATAAGAAAGTGCTGGTAGGTAACTGGAGCTGGACATGGGAATTAAGGCTGGAATGGAGTGTGTAAAGTAAACAACATATAACCAGGAGGAACCAGATAATTATGGAGTGTTTGAAGCAGCTCTTGCAGGGTAAAACCTTTCAAGGCCACCTGCACCATATCAGTAATACCATATAAGGCTGAGATTACCAAGGTTACAATATCAGAATTTTCAGGCTTAATTATAGATGTGCAAAATTGAGGAAGAAATAGTCTGGGTGGATTGGTTGTCTGGGAGGAGACTGAGGTATGGGAAGCATCAATGTGGCAGAAAAAGTGGATCCTGAAAAAAGAAAACATATAAAATGAGATAAAGCTGAGATCAGCTGACTGAAGGATTGTCGGTGTCTGGATGATAGTGAAGCCTGAGGACTCAAGCTCACAGGAGTGCTGAAGTGATGCTTCTTGAACAACCTGCTGGACTCTACATCAGGTCTATGCTGGAAAGAATTGTTGTGGGAGGGCAGAGCAAAGTCAGGTAGATGCACATCCTAGTGTGCAGTGGTGTGGGAGGGAAGGGTGACTCAGCAGCATCATGTGTGGTTCATAAGACTTGATTAGCAACTTCATAGCTGTGTGCAAAGTGATATAAATAGCCATGAGATGCTACTGGTGCATTAATGAGGATATTGGTCATTTAGTCGACTTATTGGTGTGCTTGATATAATTAGTGTGCTGAATCTGTTCTTGCAACACTGTAATATGAAGGGGAATAGCTGGGCAGAAGTCGCAGCTGGGGGCTCAGCTAGGACCTCCTAATTTGGAAGCCTGAGCTAACTGATACTGAGTTCTTTGAAGAACATGTGTGGATGGAGATGATGGGCATCAGATGAATTCCTGAGTGAGAGGAGGAGCGGGTCTGTGCAGGCTGTGTTTTAACACGGAGGGGATCCTTAGAACTGACTGCTATGAAATACACATTAAAATATACTCAACTAAAGAAATAATAGTAGTGTCTAGATACAGAGATGCATCTGGAAAAGGGTTTAAATAAGGAAAAAACATGGCAGCTGGGATACTGAGACATGGGACACAGATTTGAACCTCAGCGGAGGAAGATATCTGATGTAAAGGGTGACTGTAGTGGTTACTGGTAAGATGAGAATAGTGGTGGTGGAAGCTTTAATAACACAAGTTAGGCTAAGCCAAAAGGAGAATATGTCAGAAAAAGAGAAACTGTGGAGTATATCCAAAATATATCCCCTGGTGAGTGCAGCAGATGCATACCCAGGGAGAGGCTGAATAGGTGAGAGTGTCAGGATCACCTTGGCAAAAGGCAGGGATGTTTTCTAGAGCCTTACCTGCTGATGCAGTCACCCTATGGTAACACTTGTCATATTTTATTCTTAGTGGCACAGATGTTCCAGAGCTGCTGTGTTATCCAGCAGCTGCAGGCAGGGTAGGAGTGGCTGCTCCAAACCTCTCTCACCACCAAGTTGCATTTTGACTGCTATTTGAGCAGAGTTATGCAGGGAGGTGGTTTTTGGATAACAGCTGTCAAGTAAAGACTTACTCTGCAATGACTTGGCCTTTTCCTGGTGTTTTGATTTCATCCAGAGTCTGGGCTTTGTGCAGACCTTGGAAACAAATGCCAGACCCACACTAGACTTCAGTGCTTTCTGGGAATGTTGCTTTGAATAGCTGAAATGGGTCTACTCCCTCTTCAAAGGGCCTCTATAAGGGGAGACTGACTGTAACAGGCATTACTGCTATTTCCAGAGTTACCAATGCCAGCTGGAGCTCTTTTCTTCATGGTGCACTAGTAACAGGGTAAGACTGGTGTGTTCTGGCTTCAGAAGTTAAATTCTCCCCCTTGGCTGAGCTGAAGAGATGGTTCATGGAGCTCTTATATCAGCTGTGCTTGTGGTATTCTTCCAGTTGGCTTGGGCTACTATAAGAATTTGGGCAGTGAAGTAATTCCTGATAGAAAGGTCCCTCCTGTGGGATGAGGGGAAACAGGGTCAGAGTCCCAGCACTGCTGGGGGAGTTCCTCAGACTGAATTTGTGATGTGGGGAGGCTTGTTCTCTATAGCATTAATTTGTATTGCTGTTAATCACTGCTATCTGCTGGTACCTTGAACTAGGTGTGATGCAGTAACCCCTTGTGCAAGTATTTAACACTTCTTGAAGTACTTTGCTGGGACAGCATGGGTTGGTTTTCTCTTGGAAAGTGTAGCAAAATGTGGTGCTATTTTGTTTGGGGGGTGAGTGGGTTTGTGTTCAAAATTCAAGTTTTTCTATTATTTAGCAGCACTAGCATGGGAATCTAGTCCTCTAGAAAATGACTAAGGCCTGAAAATGCCCAGCTTTTAATGAGCTATTGCATTTTCCTTTAATTCTTGTGTTGCTGCCAGGCATGTCTGGCTAAGAGAAAGCATCCCATTTAGGAAGGCAGCCAAATGCCTGTGTCCCAAGGATCAGTACTGGTGGTAGAGGATCAAAGTTGTGTTGTGTGGCTTTTTGTACTGCTTTCCCATCTCCCCAAGAAGTACTTGGGAGTCTTCTCCTGGATGAGTTTTACTGAAAAGACTTCAAACCAAGCATGACCTTAAGTTGGTAATAAAGGGATAGAAGTGACAAGGAAAATATTAAACTGCTTTGTCAAGATCTTCTCCCACGTACTATCTCCAGCTACCAGGATGTGTGTGGGACTGACACTAGGCTGATGGAAGACAAACCTTGGCTGAAAAAAACATTCCGTTTTAACCTCTCACTTTAAGCAGTCCTTGAAGTTTTGGGTTTTAAAAAAAAAGTCTTTACCAAAGCTTTGTCAGGTGGCAACAATTTAACAAACTCTGCTCAAAATGGGGAGACTGACTGGAAATAACTTGTAACTTCTTCATCCTCTTGGCTGGGGGAAATTGGTGCTTTTGCAGTATTCATCCCTGTACCCTTGAGAATTGTCACAGAGCAATGGCAGGAGATCTGTGGTTTTTTGTGGGGTGGGGAGAGGAGGAGGTCAGGATAAAAGCTAGAAATAATAGTCTGAAAGCTTGAGTGCTGGAACAGAGGAAAGGGTAACTTAATGGTATTTTCATTTGTGAGCTGATCACAGGGCTCTGGAATGAGGCAAGAATAGTCTCAGTTGAGAGTTACAGTAAATTAGATAGTCATGCCCTCTCCCATGGGCCCAGTGTCTCTACAGTTGTGTTGGCTTGCAGCATATTCCCTGAGGCAGCATCTAAACACATCCAAACTGCTAGCCTGACCTGGGAACTCTGCTTCTGCTGGACACAGGACTTGGTGAAACCAGTCTCTGCAGACATGTGAGATACTTGTATGAAGCTTCACATGTTGGGTATTGTGGCACACCTGTGTGTTGGTACTGCCCATGATACAGTCAGGCTCACTTCAATCTCTCTCCTACAGAATGTGAAGTCTGGCATGGAACTGAATATTTACTTTCCTCTGTTTTCTGTAGCTCACAGTAGTCTCTTGTGTTCCACAAATACCTAAAAAGAAAGCTCACCAAATTCAAAGCTAGCTGAGGTGATAGTAAAGATTTACTGCCCTGAGATGTTCAGAAAAAACATATTGTATGGTCTTTATTTTTAGCAGGTAATTTCTGCTGCTTTAGATACTAGGAAAGCCCTACCAGACTTGGGCATTTCTGTTTTAACTAGTGGTGGTTTCATCACCTGTAGTAACTGAGAGGACTGAAACAAAAGCTCCTCTTATCAAATGTCCTCTCTAGTTATTTATTGCAAACATTGCTTGGTTGCTCCATAGCAACTCTACGTGGGGCAGCTGGTGTGAAGCACGCTTTGCTTGGCAGGCCTTTTTTGGGAGCTGTGGTGTCAGTCCCCTCAACCTCCACCAAGATGTTTGAGGAGGGAAAAGCCCTGCCAGATGACTGGGGCAGTGGGTAAGGGAATTGCTGGAGTCAGCTCTGGCAAGCCTGGGAATAGTCTGCAGTATCACATTCCCACCAAGAAGAGATTAATCTTATGTTCGTTTTCTGTGACCATCTTTGGAGTTTTTCTCTCCTTTTTATAGTGCCTGGTGTCTCACTCAGCACCAGCCAAGTGGGATCTAAACCCTTTTCCAGCAAGGTTAAAACTGCTGGAAAGACTTAAAAGGAGAGGCTGCCTTGTCTCTCCCTGTGACCTTTCTTACTGTGTTGGCCCCTTGTTGTTCCCTGCTGCCAACCACTGTTCCCAGTGCCCTGGCGTGGGGAGGCTTGGTTCCCAGGCACATCCTGCTGTCTGTTCATCCAGGTTTTCCATCTGTACCACCAATACCTGGCATGAATGAATGGATGTCAGTGGCTCTCAGGACCAGGCAAGTATTTAGCACAGTTCAGCTTAGGCTTTAAGGACTGCTTTGCCTATTCCTGCTCAGGACATTAAAGTGCTGGACAGCAGATGTGGTGACTTCCCCCTCCCCACCCCCAAGGTATAACAGAGCTTGAAAGTGGAGCAAAGGAGGATGGTAGTTAGAAGGGATCCCAGCTGATTTTTCTGGTTCTGTAGTTGCTTCTGAAGAGTTGGAGGCTGTCAGATATTTACTTCCAAGACCTGGCCAGCCTCTGGCTCCTGGTACTGGACAAACAAGAGAAGTAGGAACAGGTGGATCATAGTATGGTTTGAGTGGGAAAGGACTTAAAGATCATCCAGTTCTACCTTCTCTGCTGTGGGCAGGGGTACTTTCCACTAGACTAGCGTTCTCAGAGCCCCATCAAGTCTCACCTGCAATGCTTCCAGGGAGTGGGCATGCACAGCTTCTCTGGGCAGCCTGCTCTGGTGTCTCACCACAGTAAAGAATTTTAATTTCTAATACTAAATTTGAATTCACTCTCCATCAGTTTAACACTATTCCCCCTTGTCCTATCACTGCTTGCCTTTGTGAAAATTCCCTTGCCAGCCTTCTTGGAGACCCCCTTTAGGTACTGGAAGGTGCCATAAGGTCTCCTTGGGAAGAGGAAGGGGAGAAGAAACTGGGGATTGGACTCCTTCCTCAAGTGCTACCACTTGATGTTTGTGTTTGGAGTTGGTTTTCTCAAGCATCTGTCTTTTGATGCCTTCCAGCCATCAGATGGCCTGACAAATGATTACCTTCTGGGCAAACCCTGTTTTCCCTGAAGCAGTGTCTGCTTTTACTTCCTGGAAATGAGGGACAGGGTCGGGCAAGCTGGTACTGGTGTTCTCAAAGCCCTCTTCTCCTGTATGCATGGATTTTTCATGCCATAGCTCAGCCTGAAGGTCAGCATGGACAACAGGCAATTGTGTAATGGTGGGGTAAACTGCACTGCCAACCCCTGGGAGCACCGGGTGCAGCTCTGCAGGGGCAGGGCAGGAGCATTGTGCCTTCTGCATATCAAAACCTTGTTGTAACACACCCGAGTATTCAGAGCAGTGCTGGGCGTGCAACCAAGGAGCTGGGGCTCGGTGCCTCTGCAGGTAAGGCTGTACCTGGGCAGTCTGAGAGCTCTGTGCTTGGGAGCAGGCAGGCACAGGGCAGCACCAGGCAGTGCAGTGGAGCCTGGCAGAGGCCATCCTGTCAAGGCTTGCTCTGACAGATTTGCAAACTTCCTTCGGGGCTGTGAAGTCTTGTGTAGGCTGTCAACACTCTCCTCCCGGGTGATGTGCTTCCAGGGAAATATATTTGCTTCTGTGGTAAGGCATGTGATAATGCTGCCCTGAAGCGCTTCTAGTCCTGCTTAATCCTCATCTTGTTCCCCCTTCTTATCTGTTCAGTTTGCTTCCTCTTGTGGGTCATCCTGCCTAGCTGAGCCACCAGTTTGTTCCCCTTATCTTCCTTCAGTGTAAAATCAAAGCAATTAGTAGCTGTGCTCAGGCTGCCTTGTGATAAACCCCCAGTGATTTAGATGGCCTGTCAGTCCTTCTCCTTGCAGCTGCCAGGAAGACCTGGGAGCAATGATGCTGACAGCCAAAATGGAGGGTGCTACAGAAGATTTTGAGCAAGAGCTGATCATCAGCTAGATGTGAACAGCTTCTCTAGGGTTGTACTTAAATGGCTTGGAGCCACACACTGACCCAGCAGATTGAGTGTGAGCTGGGCTTGCTTTGTTTCTTATGATGGATGCAATAGCTGCACGCTCTCTGTGCAAACCACTTTTTCTGGCATACAAGCACTTCACAGAACTGTGGATCTCAATAGGGATGAGTGGATGAGCTCTTTAAAGAGGTGCTGAGACTGGTTTTCAAGATGAGACCATTTATTCCATGTGCCCACCTCATGCTGCCATTAACATATAACACTCCTCTGGATTTTTGTGGTCATTCTGAGCAAGTTAGGTAAGTAGACTCTGAACTTTGTTTAATTTCCTCCTATCTGAGGGGGTGATTGTTGTGATGGGCTTTGTCTCCAAGGCTGCAAGTCTTGTTTAGGTGTGCTGCCTGGTCTTGACTGAATATTCCAGTGCTGTTCTGCTGTTCCCTGTGCAGGATTAAGGCTTCCAGCCCTGAACCCATAGCAAAAGTAGGCTTGAGATAGTGTACATTATGAACCTCTAGGAAAAGGAGGAACTTGTGCTAGCTAAAAAGAAAAAAACCCATTTTGCAGTACCCAGCATTGGTTGTGTCAGGCAATTCTCAGGGGATGCTGAACTTTCATCTCTTTCTTGGTTAACACCTGTGGGAGAGGCAACTCTAGTTAAGGCAAGAACAGCCCACAGGATCTGAACTGTGGGGGGAAAAGAATCCAGTTTGCTGCCTTTAGTTCTATGCATGGTCTTTTCCTGTCTCTGATAGCAAACTTAAAAAAAAAACAAAACCCAAAACAAAAACAAAAAAAAAAAACCCAAAAAAAACCCCCACCAACCCTATGCTATGTAGTTTCCTTTCTGGCCCTAGGGAAGAGGATAATGAGTCATGGGAGGACATTGCTTCATGCCCTGGAGGGTGCTTGGATATCTGGCAAGGGCAGGCTAGAAGCACGTTCAGCTATAGGTCAGAGCTGCTCAAGGTAAATTCACCCTTAAACGTGGATGATAATTAGTGAGACCAAAAAGAGAAACCTGTACATGAAAACTTGGAAGTCTAGATGTGCCGGGTTTTGCTCTAGAAATAAACAAAAGGTACAGCTCTTGTTTGCTTATCAGAGTAACAGGGCTTTGGGAGGATGGGGAGAGAGTCAAGGACAGCTGAAGATCTTTTTATTTGTTTAAGATTTCCTTGTCTGGGCAGGACGGCAGTTGACATGACTGCAGCAGGGTTGGGCTGTGTCGCCTCTTTCCTTTCTTTGCCTGCTGGCTTTGTTTCTTTCCCTTGTGCCTGCCTTCCCCATTTTCATGCCTACTCAAGGGCCTTCAGCTTCTTGCTGCCTCCCAGTACTGCAAAGTGTGTCCTCATGACACAAGTCATGAGGATATGAGGTTGACTTTTCTGCCCTCAGTGATCTTTGTCAGCTTGTTCTCATCTTTGCAGTGTGAAGATGTGTGGGTTAAATGATGTCTTGCAGAAGAGCTAACTTGGCATCATTGGCAATGTGGTTCACTTGTTCTTGGTAGGTTACTGCCCCTGCAAGCTGTGGGGAGCTCCTTGTATTAATTAGTTTGTATGCTTACAGTGTTAAGTGTATCTCCTTATTCACCCTGAAATGTATATAACCAATATAAATTGTTTCTCTTCCCCTTCTGTCATCACAGCTTTTGAGACTTAGCAACTGCTCCGCAGAAGTGCCCCCTGTGTAAAACCCCAGGCTCTTGCACAATGTACCAGTCCAGCTTTATGCCACGGGAATATTACCCAGCCATGATCCCACCTTCTGCCTACACCTACCCACCTCTGCGGCCTGGGAGAGCAGAAAACATGTCCAGATCTGTGATGTTCCCTCCCATCCACATGCCCAACTTCTACAGTCGACCCATCACCTTTGTGGTGGACCGGAACAGCTACCCTGACTATGCGGGAGGTCAGGTGGAGTATCATCATCTCTATAGTGCCTCCAACCCCTACATCTATCCATACCACACCTGGCACTTCCCTCCCATGGTCCCTATCCCTCTCTACAATCCCTATGCAAACTACCATCCCTATGCTACCTGCCAGAGGTCAGATCAGTATCGAGATACGTGGCCAGAAGGCTTCACAATGAGAGGGGAGCTTCAATGGGGGAAGCTTGGAAAGGTGTTTGGGCCAAGGAAAGACCTCCCAGAATTTGTGAAGGATGATCTCCGGAGGGTTTATGGCACCTACCCTCGGACCAATGTTTCCATATCCTATCGGAAAGGAGAGTTCTTGGTCAAGGGAGACCCCAAGATAGAAGACCAGGAATATGCAGTGGAGAAAAAAGTCATCCAGCAGGCTGTGACCCCCAGTGCCAGTGAGGCAGATGACAGCAGTGAGGACCGGAACCGTAAGAAGAAAAAGAAACTGAGACATTGAGGTAGTCAGATACCCAATGGACTGATGCTCTAGTACCCTCATGGGAGCCAGTTGGCAGCTGGTTTTGGTGTGGTTGGCAAATAACACAAGCAATGGATGCCACCATTCTTGTAGATTTCTTTTAATTTCTCCTCATTCACCACAACGTTATGGCAGGTTTACCATTTTTGATGCAAAAGGCTCATCCTGTGAAGAAACCACATGGCACTTTACTGTTGGATCAACTCATTGGTCCTGATTTTGAAATGAACATTTGATTTCCACAAGTTTGGTTGACTGGTCACAGCCTGGTGGGGGAATCTCCAAACTGCAGCCCTTGATCAGAGAAATGGGCCTCTTCCTACCTTGTCCAGGGGAAGGGCCTGTAAGCTGGTTCTCTTCCTGGAGAAATGAAAGCTGAATTTCCTTCAGGCTGAGGGCAGTGCAGGTCCCAGAAGACACAGGGGTTCTTGAACACTCTAAAGAACAATTGTCTGCATGTCTTGTCACTGCTGTTTATGACCATATCACTGCGCTTTATCACTACATGAGGCCTGTATGCAGCACTTCCTTACACTCTGGTGTCCCCATCCTCTTACACTTGATAATGTGGTGCTCAGTACTCCTGGCCACATGTCCTTATTGAAACTGCTCTTGAGGCCCTGCTCTGGGTCTGACTTGGCTCTGGTTCAAGGTGCTGGCTCCCCAATGAGGATACTGGAATTGTGTGTACCACAGCACTTCCATAGCTTGGTGGTTGTACTGGAAGAGCTGCGCTGGAGGGTTGTGAGGGGCTGGGTCTGACTTACTTGCAAACTTCTGTACCTTTTAAATGATTATAAACAATAAAAAAACCCAAATGCAAATGCTTATATTTCCGATTCTTAACTACCTAACATCAGTCTCTTTTGTGAACAACTTGCAATCAGATCTGGCACCTTTTTGTGAAGTTAGGGATGGCTTCTGCTGTGGTTCACACCCAGCTGTGATGCCTTGTCCCACTTGGCAGTACCGTGCCTTGCCCTAGCTTGTTTTCTGTCAGCTTCTCTAGGGACCCGCAGGAACTTTATGAGCATACAGGAGAAATAGGGGACCTTCTCTGTCCCCCTGCAGTTTTCTGTTCTCCCCCTGACCTCACACATGGGAGGTAATGGATGTTACCCATCGGCATAGCAAAGGGAAGACTGTAAGGGTGAACTTGGAGGCCTTTGGTTGTTCTGAATTGCTATAAACTGAAAGCAAGTGGATTTTCTTTAACTTTTTTTTATATATAGTGCAAGAGGTTTTGTTTAACCAATTGCCAAAATGTCTCGGCAACTGTCTGCGTTACCCCTTCCCCATTCAGCTTCATGGAAATGTGTTAGCTCCTGCTGCTAGACAAAGCTGCAAGAAGGCTGAACCAGAAAAACTGCTATAGAAACCTTGGACCAAACTGGTGCTCCTTGGCTGTGTTGCAAACAGTGGCAGTGGGACTTGCTGAATGGGCTAGAAAAGGCCTCCATTAATGACTGCTGGCTAATCAGTTATGATTTTGGTTACCTAATATAGGAAAAAGGCAGTAGCTCCTGCTGGATTGGTTGTTTGAGGTTTTTTAAATCTCTTCCTGGGCTGAGCAGGCTCTCCTGCATAGTTAGGGATGTGCAGTTAAATGCCTGCATGGTGGTGCACTCTCCCTGCTTTAGGTGAGATCCTGGAAGAGGTGCAAACCTGCTCTTCTAGGCAAGGTAAGAAAGAGCATGGGTTTTGGCATACAGTGATGTTGAAATGCTACATAAATGACAAGGAATTGCACAATAACTTAAATGCCATTCCTCCAGCTGTTAGGTTACTGGTGGCAGCATGACACCATGTTAAAGTAGAAATGTCCCCAAAACTCAGGAGGTACAGCCAGGCTCTCCCAGAAGTATATGATGAGTGGGTGCAAACAGCCTCTTGCCTACACAAATACTTTCTCCAAATATGTTACTGCTGGGGTCATCTCCAAGGCCCAGGGGGAGACAGAGGGCATGACCCTTAACTTTACCCATCCTGTCCTGTTTATCTTCTCCGAAGTTTTGTTTGGTTTTGCTGCCTGGACTCTGAACAGGAGATTGCTGGGCACACCCAGGCTGTTGTTCGGACAATGTGTATTTTTAGCAGAGGCTCACAATTGCTTGCAGTACATCAGGAGGTAGTAATGTATTTATTTTCTCAAATGCCATTTCACTTCCAGAAGGAAGAAAGCATTCTATAGTTGGGTGGTTTTTTTCCCTTGGGGGAAGACATGCCACAAACCTCTACTAGCTCTTTTATAGCAGATATTTCTGTGGTGGCCATAACTCCATTCCACCCCTAATCTGGTCTCTGTGCAGGAGCAAAGATATTCCTTGTAGGAAGAGCTCACAGTTGCCTTTTCTTCCTGAAGGTTTGAGGCTCAGTTGCTGCCCAGCTGCAGAACTGAATCCATAGGGCATTTTGGAGGCTTCAACGCCTATGGAATTCAGTTCTCAGAGCCAAGCAGCCAGTGCGAGTCAGCTTCCCCTGGCTCCAGCCAGCTGTGTCTCCATCTGCAAAGGGGGAAAAAATAGCAAAGAGCTCATCATGTCTTTGACACAGGGCAGGCACTGAGCTGACACAGATTTTTGCAACTGGGAGCTGCCACAAGGAGAAGACTCTGGCACCTCTCATCCCAGAAACAGCACAGACAGACACAGCTTTCTTTGGAAACTTTGCTCAAGTTGGCTGGCTCTTTTTTTTTTTCTACTGCTTCAACATATGCTGTTTGGAGTCACTGCAAAGTTTCAGGTCAACCCTGAGCTCTGCAAACCTGCTAGAGCTGTAAGAGAAACACCATTTCTGCTACTTAGGGCTGGTATTGGCAGGTGTGTTGAGAATCCCTCTATGTATTTGCTCCATGTACAGGTGTCACATATCCCTTGGATTAAACTGCTCTTTCTAAACCCTCAGTATGAGTGTCTGAAAAGGGGCAAGCTGTGCCAGGGGGATGCTTAGTCCTGTAAGAGCAGCCCAGTACTTCCAGGCACTGACTCTCTGCTCCATTCATAATGAAACCAATGCCCACAGGAAATCCTTGAACTAGGAGGTGCCAGCTGAGGGGAATGGTTTGTGCAGCAGGTGCTACCACGGGTGGACCATGAGGTGCAGGGGCTTTCTGCCCATTTGGAAGTGGGAAGGGACATGGGACAATTCTGCGTAAAATGAAGAGTGAAAGGCCTTTTCCAGATAGCTCAGAAAGTAGATTCAGGGAGGGACTGGTCTCCATCTGGGTTAACCTGGGACTTGCTGGTGCATCCCACAACTATACACATGCCCTTTGCTGCCCACTGCCCCCACCCTCTGGTTTGGGCTGCAAAGCTCACATGCATGGAGAGGCAGACTTGAGGGACACAGGGGGATCCCCCTGAGCACAGAGCTGCTGATGCTGCTGGCAGCTTTGGGCAGCCTCACCCCTCAGTAGATGTTCACTTTCAAACCTGGGGACTGAGCTAATGGCTGAAAAGCTTTTCCTTGGCTCAGCAATAGCTTGGCACAGTTGTGATGACAGTGGCTCAGGCAGGAGTAAGCACCAGGAGAGGATTCCAGCCCTTTGCCTGTATGTCAGCAGAAGAGACGGGAAATGACACACACCACTTTGGAGCACGGGCAAAGATTTCAATGGGGGAAGCACTGAGCAACTGTTGCACGAGCAGTGAACTCTGCAATTGCTCAACTGCTGGCCCCAGGCTCTATTTTAATCCCTCTGCTGGGAATTACAGTTCAGTTGGGGCAGCATGAACTCACCATTCTGATGCATATAGCAAAGCAGCCAAACCCTGTTGCAAAAGCTGAGGAATCCCAGGCTGCAAGTGCCAGCTCTGGTGTATCCCGGGGAGCACGTGCAGCAGTACCACAGGGGCTGCCTGGAGGGGCAGCAGTGAAGGGAGATGGGGTAAAGCAGAGCTTACACCACAGTCTCCACCCTGCAGCAGGTGGTCAGGGTCAGAGAGGCAGTTCAAGGACCCAGCTGTGCACTGTGCCTGTTTTCAGACCATTGTGACTTGGCAGGGAGTTTTCAATAGCTCTGAGCTCCTCAAACTCTGAGCCTTCTCCTCCTCTTACTCTGCAGGCAGCCACCTGTGCAATCGAGTGGGCAGGAAGGCAGCCTGCCAGAGACATTGCAGCCACATGGAAGCACCTGCCAGCCTGAAAGGGTTGGTAGGATTGGGATGCTTTGGGGCTGCTTGTTGTCCATCTCATGCCCATAGGGGTTTACCTTGCAGTCCCTGGCTATTTGAGTGCATGGAAAACCTTTGTGTTTCATTTTTTAAGATGTAAAACTCTCCTCTGAGGCATTTACCTCATATCATTGATGGATGTCTGCCATTCAAAGTGCCATCCATCTGCCTTCATCCCACTGCTGCTCTAAGCAACACTGCTTTCAGAAACTGAAAGGTGCAGGCCAAGGAAAAGCCTTCCTCCTCATCTACCTCCATGGGCTGATTTGCAAAGAAAAGGGAAGGGTTTCAAGCAGACAGGCAGGTGAGGAGGATGGGGGTCAACACCAACTAGCCTTCCCTGATGATCCTCCTTCCCTTGCACCATGGCCCAGGGAAGTGATGTGGATGCTGGGGCTGAGTTGGACAGCCCAGCAGCTATCTGGCATGAATTCCCCCATGCCCTGTGTCCCACCCTCCCCAACTTGGGGCAGGGACAGCTCCAGCATGATACTTTTGGCATCCTACCTGCGCGTGCTGGGACTGGGGCACCCCATTGCCAAAATGCACCAGAAACAGTTTGATCTAAGTGCAATGGAAAATCCATGGGGGATGAGCTGGGAATGAAAATTATTCAAATGCAAACTCAGAGAAGCTCCAATTCTGATTTCATTCTTGGCTGCTCCTGTAAGAAATGTGCCCATGGCATGGCATCTACAGCACACCACAGGGTCTGCTTTTGATCCTTGGTTTTCCTGACCCAGCTTTGTCCTGTATTCCTTCACCCAGGCAGGGCCAGGGCTGGATTTGGCCCTCTGTATTTGGGATTATCCCAAGACCCTAGGGGGTCTGCACTGGAGCAGGATGCCAGGTAATACATGGAAGAGCAGGGATAAATGGAGATGTGGGAGCCACCTCAGTGATGGGTATTTTGCTGCTGTGAAGGTGCCCTAGCCCGATCCTGTGTTTTCTGGAGGCTGTGTCAGGGTCAGGCTGCAGCATTGTACTGTCGGGTGACCATTGCCCCACCTCAGCCCCGGGGGGAATTACATCAGGCCAACTGCCAACTTCACAAGTGAGGGTTTCATAGCCCCACTGCAGCCTGCCTCCCCTGACCCTGGAGCTGGATCCCTTGGCTGAAAGGCTGAGAGCTCCTCAAGGCTCCTGACCTCAACCCAAAATGATGGTGAGTCAAGAGACACTGCAGACAATCAGGTGCCCAGGAGGATACTGCTGCTGTGGGGCTTTTCTGTGGAGCACAGCAGAAATGGCCACATGAGCTGATTTCCCCATGGCAAGCCCCGCTGGAAGCGATGGGAAGACACAGAGAAGCAGAAGCTCGCTCGTGGCCGGCCCTGCTGCTGGAGAGCTGAGCCACCCCGGTTCAGCCCTGAGCTGCCACAGGCGCTGAGCCCTTTCTGGCTTTCGCTCTCCACTGCCTCCCTGCCGAGGGCCCGCGGGACAGGCTGGAGCGCTGCCCTCTCCCTCGCTCCTGGGGGAGACAAAGCACAAGCCACGGCTCCAGAGGGGACGTGACTCCCAGGCAGCTCCAGCGCTCAGAGCTTAATGGTTTATTGCTTAATGTCTTAAAAGCAGCAGCGCCCTCCTTTTGGCATTTCCAGCTAATTATCCTGGGAGTTACTGATTAGCTAGGACGTGCCTAGGCCCAAGCA